TTGTTTCCCAGGCTGTTTCTGCTCCTACACATAGGTACGCATGTGTCTTCACAACAACTGGGTTTATTTCTGCAGTTCTGTGAACTCTCTTTCCACCAATAATGCAATTTCTGAAAGCTGCTGTTGTGTTTATTTTGATAAAGAACGTAGTAAAGAAAGTGATCTACCAAAATTGTTTGGTAGAAATTTTGGTAAAAATTTGTTGTTGTATCCAACAAGAAAGGAAGCCTTGTGAATCTTTTAAACAGTGATAGAAAACACGTTAGCATACAGAAAGCTCTGGGGCCGTATTATAGAAAATTCTTATCGTTTCGTCTTAAAATCTGACAGGTCAAGATAAGATTTTCACAAATTCGTATTACATAAGCAAATCTTATCCTAATTTTAGAATTTTATATTATCTTACAGCATCTTATCTCAAGTTAAGAAGTCGACAACCAACCGCTGTGTCTGTTACCTAGCAACCGACCATACAGGCACAGCTGAAATGTAAACATGTAATCAAGTTAGCGTTAGTTAGTCAGACAGCTAACGTTAGCTGCCATTACTGGTGTAAAGAAAGTCAAATAAAACGAAAGCGTGTTAAACTGAAAGTTAAGAATATTGTTTCAGAGCTTCGTGCTGTGTATCAGAGCGTTGCCGCTCCACGGTTTCAGTCTCCATTTCCCAAACGCTTTAGCTGAGTGCACAAACGTTATTCCTCCTAATAAACAGACACACGATCAGCTCTGTCTCCTCATTATTCACCACCATCACTGCAATATTTTATCTGAGGAGTTTTCATCAACAATAACACACAAAGGTAGTAAGGTGGAGATCGAGTCTGCAGTGTCTGGGGCTTTTAAACACTGTAAGACTAAAAAGAAAAAACTCAAGACAAAACACCGTTTTTTAGTGTAGAAAAATGTAACGTCATTGTGCTACTTATAGTGAACTGTGCTGCCTGACACTGCATAAAACAATAGAAACAGATGATTAAACAGAAGTTAAGACACTCTGGGGTTTATCTAAAAGTTAAGAAAATATTTAGGACATTTTGGCAACTTAGTATGTTTCTGTAATACCGTTTTCTTATCTGGAAATAATTTAAGATTATAGACTTAAGAACTGTTGTTCTGTAATGGCTTCTGTCCTAACTTCAGTCTTAACTGAAGTTGCCATGATAACAAAGCAGATCTCAGACTTAAGTAGATCTCAGACTTTACTTTGCTGCTGCCAATGGCGGCATGCACGCGTCTTAATCAAACGAGGGTTCATTTGGTGAAGTGAAGCGGCTTAATTAAAAACCTTGTTTGAAAGCTTAGTAGTTTTTAAAACAAAGAAAATAGACTCGGCATTGGCATCAACTGCAGGTTTCAATATCAGTATCAGTAAAGAGTGATAAAAGTGGTATAGTGCCATCTTTATTCACACCTCTACCTCACACATCTCCATCTGTCTGTACCTCTATACTCTCCACATAACATCTTCACTCGCATCTCTCTACCCTCCAAACCCCCACCCAGCTCTTGTGAAAGTGAGAATATGGCAAGCCCCACTGTCTTATCACCATCGAGTAGAGAGCCACACAGTGCTGCTGTATTTTATCCCACTGCCATGTCACTGCTTTGCCCCGTTCTGAATTGGGCTGCTTTGAGTTATGAGTCACACAAGTGCACCTGCGCCCATGTGTTAAGCACTGACAAATAAAAGCCTAACGTCCATTTACACAACAAAGAGATGTACCCCGCAAGGCAACCAATCTCTACCCCCCACCCACCACCACACCCCCCTGCCTTCTTTACCCACTTATTCACTTGCATAAGCAGCGAAAATGCTGCATGCTCTCCCATGATGCCCTGTACTCGCTCTCAATTCCGCATGAACCAGTATTCAAACACAAATTTTGCGGAGACAGAAAAAAAAGAACACACAAACTCCTTTTATGTCCCACAGACGACTCCATATTTAATTTTTTTCCCTAAGCGGGGCGATGTTGCGGCAGGCGTTTTTATCGAAGCCTCCCTAAAGCAAATCCCACCGTCATCAAAGCACCTTTTTGTTCTAGAAGGGAAAGAATCCCCTCTACAAAAGCGCAGGGATTCTCCGACAAACTCAGTTGCTTTAGAAGAAATCTTCGCTAGTACCAGCTCCAGAGACTTTTAAGGCCGGGGCTTTAACTCCGGCTTCCTCACAATCAGCAGCTGACTGCGTGATTGATGCATATTAATGAGGCGGGTGGGCGTGAGGCGGGCCGGTGCAGGCGGACGCAAGCTGAGGCTCCGCACTTCCTCTGCATCCTTAATGGCCGCCGCTCCGCTCCGCCGGGATTATCACCCATGGAAACTTCTCCCGATCCGTCGCTATTAATCTCTGTCTGTCCTCCTGTTCAGGCTACATAATGACTAATTAAACATCAAAAGAGCAGCGGTGGGGATGGGCCGTGACAGCTCGAGGCCCCGAGCCCCGGCTCCCGCGGGACCCTGAGCGAGAGGAGGCCACGGCGGCCCCACAAATCAATCAACCGGCCCTGCCTACCTACGCACCTCACTCCTGCTATACACTCACACCAAAACAACAGGGCCTGTTAGCAAAGCACTGGTGCACGCACAGCAGAGCTTTAATTCAGGCCTGAAATTTTGATTCAAAAACGAAACATAGAGAAAATTCACTGACCAAGTACAGGTCAACCCACAGCACTAAGATTAGAACAAATACAAGTGTTCGATCAATATGAAAACTCTGTGGCCGACACCAATACAGATTTTAGGGGGCTAAAAATTCTGATGACTGGCTGATATAATTTGATCTTTTTTTAATTGTGTACTCTAATAGGTTTAGTAAAACAGTGCTTACAGACTGATATGTTTATCACTCCTCAATGGTCACACTTTATAAAACTCCAGTGAACACCAGAAACTCAATATAAATATTAACAAACAACAAAAATACTGCAGCACTGTGGGTGTAGCTACCCAGAATTCTTTAGATTATTGGTCTCTAACCTATTTTTTTCCCCTTAGTTCTCTTGATTATAAACACTATTCTCACAGTAAAGGTTATGTCTGGATACATCGGTTTTGTAATAAAGAAATGATGATTTGTGTTCAGATTTCTCCAGTTCAGTCTGTACTAATTGCAATTTTAAATACCGACAAAACCGAGACTGAAAGAAAGTTGCTAATTATCAGCAATATTTTTGTTAATACTTGTAAAACTGCAGGCTGTCAATATCAGTCAACTTACATCAGTTGCGTCCTAATGAGAACCCAAATACAGCCAAAAGACATTCTGTCCGAATCTGACTGTACCTCACCAAAATTCTGTCCAAGACTGACTTAAACTCCACCATCAGCCGGAGATCAAAACATTCCTACACCCACACTGCTAATGATAGAGCCTGTTAAGTTAGCAACACTGACAGCAATCAACATATCAACAAAATGCATAATGAATTATCAGCTACCCAAAATGAAGTTTAAATTCCACTATAACCAATGTGTTTATCAATCAATGCCTTCAAACAACATGGCAAATGTTTTTAGCCTGGATAAGCATGTTTACTCATGATAAGCTTGTGCAACTTGTTGCTGCAAACAACCAAAATACAGCCAACTGAATCCACTGCGATGTAAAAATCTCCAGGAAAAATTCCATGTAAGATTTGTCAAAAATTTTGCATAATTAAATGGTTAAGATGTAAACAAAGTCATTCGGAGTGGTCTGAGGTAAAGACCTGCGTGGGAGTCCCATTCCCGCCTGCTCCCGCAAGATTTCATCCCGCTGCCTCCAACTCCCGGAGAAAAATGGAATAATTTGTCCCTGCTGAAGTAACATGGTAGTCATGGTCATCAGGCTTCCTGTAAAGTAACTTCACTGAACACCTTTTATTCCCAGTAAATCCAAAGCAGGAATTAAACCACAAAATGGTTAATTTTGGTATTTTGCTAGGCAGCTGTGGACTGAAGCCGTCAGACCGAAGGCTCTGCCATCTCTGCAAGCTACAAGAATTTGCGTGTTTGCGTGTTCACTTGATCGCTTGTGTCGCAAAAACTGTCTTACAGTTGTCAATTTATATAATTTATATATATGATTCAGTGATTGTTCTACTTCATTTGGGCTATTCATTAATTTGCGGGATTTCTCTTCATGAGTGCTTCATCCTGCTCCCACCTGCAGTCGGCTGGTTACCCACCCACTCCCGCACACAGCACTGAAAATTAGCCCCGCACTATTGTGGCGGGTCCCACGGGTCCAGCAGGTCCAGCGGGAGTGCAGACCTCTAGTTTGATGTGAAATGCTCCGTTCTAGAGAAAGTTAGAGTCAGAATTGTTCACTGTGGTGGCCATAGTCCCAAAGAATGGATTTACCACTATTGGCCATAATCAACATTACATTTAAAAACTCAGAAGACAGATGTGGGTCAATTGGTAATTTTGGATAATAAATAAAATGGCTATATCTGTGTTGTGCACATCACAAACCCAGGTTCCTATCACCTTCACTGTAGAGAAACTGGCAAGTTTCTCTACACTGAACCATTTCACATTAAAAGACTCTGAAGGACTTTGTTTACATTACAGAAACCGAATCATGCAGAAAATTGAAAAAAAAAAAAAAATATCAGCAGAATTACCCTTTAAGGAACTAGAAGTAGCGAGGAAGAAGAAAAACTAAAGAGGGGCTGAAAGCAGGCTTAAGGTTATCAAAGGTGTGAGACCCGAACCCAGAACATAAAATCTGAACCTAATCCGAGCCCGAACCTGATCAAACCCAACAGGAACAACCACTTCCTGCTTAGTTCAGACAAATATCTCAAGGTCTAATGTGCACATACATACAGGACACTTGCTGCTACCACCGAGGCAGAGGATGACTTTGAAGAGGCGAAAAACAAAGTGAATCCAAGGGCTGAGGCTTCAACAGCTTTCATTAAGTATGTGTGTGCGCGTTTGTGTGTGTATTAGCAGCTATTTTTATATCAGAGGAAAAGCAGGCAGATAAAATGAAGCTCCACTCACGGATGATGGCAGGCCAGGGGGAACCTTGCGTACTTTCTTTGTTTGGTGAGGATCTGAGGAGAGATAAAATAACATTAAGGCATTCAAAAACACTTCGAAAGAACCCATAAGAAGTGGAGTTGAGCTTTCTCTGTTATATCTGTGTAGTCAGTGGTTTAAAACCACACTGGGCTGTACGTGTGCCAAGCCATATCAGCGTTCATAATTCCACTATACTACAGTAGGACTGAGACAAAAACCTGTTTTTAATAGCGTTCTCTATTACCACCATCCCAATGGCATCAGACTCTACAAACCACTAACTTCCTGAAATTTGGCAGACAAATACGCACCCAGAGGAGAGGAGTCCTGCAGAGAGCGTCTTCGTGGATTGGAGCCGGTGAAGGAGTAGAAAGGAGCAGGCGATTTCCCAGCCGTGGTCACAGGTCCTGGACTGGCCATTCCCATGTCTGACCGCAGAGTGGACTGCAGGGGAAAAGAGAGGACTTATCAAACAGAAAACAGAAAAAATGGAACTGCACTGTAAAACCTGGGCCAGGTCAGTATACTCTTTAGCCAATTAAGTCAGCCACTTCAGGGAAGGATAGATTTACAGCATACAGCTGTACGCAAAAGTTTGGACGTCCCTGGTCAAATGACATGCTTTGTTGGTTTAAGTTAACACATCCTCTACAGAGAACACGCTAACACACTTCTGTACATCTTAATCACATAAGATAAAAGATTTAAGATTGTCTTTCACACAATCTCTGTTTATATGCTGAATTTGTGAAAGAAACATAAAAACTGACCTGTGCTAAAGTTATGACTATTCATATTTTGGGTTTTACTTTTTCCCAACATATTAAACTCAGCAAATAAATAAAAAGTGAGCATTAAAATGTGCAGAAGCGAGTTCTCTGTAGAGGATGTGTTCACTTATTTCACTGAGAAAAACTACAAAACATGTCATTTGACAGGGGAGCCCAAACTTCTGCATACGACTGTATCAACAGTATGTTTTTTATATCAGTAGCAAACAGTACAGTCTAATGCCTTCATATGTACCAAATGTACCACTTCCTCTCAAGAAACAGTCTTTGATGTAAGACCTCAATATTAAATTATATGTAAGAATTACAGCTTCACAGGATCCCACGTTATAGTTTAATGTGCATGATGAAACAAAAACATGCAACATCTCGGATTCCTCAAAAACAAGACGCCTTTTTTTTTGTGTTTTTTTTTACCCCCTCAGTGTTTCTTATCCCCTCTGGTGCACACAAGTGTGCAGTAATTGATGTGACAGTGTCAGCAGGCTCAGTTAAGTCCAAGGAGAAATCGATCCAATCAGTCTGACCTAGCGATTGCCTGTGCTGAGGCTGGTGGTGAACTGTTATTGATCAGGGCTGATCGGGGCCTCAAGGCACATCCTCACACAGCCTGGGACACAGTCACTTAAAGCAGCACTGACGAGGAAGAGCTACTGAGGGAGTTAGGTGCTGCGTGTGTGTGCGCATGCTTGTTTGTGTGCATTTTCAAGACAAACATGTCTTGACTTTGTAAGAAAACAGGACTAACTTAAAGAGAAAAACAATTTATTTTGTTACTGAGGTTCAGATTAGAGATTAGATTGTTACTGAGGTTCATTATTACGTTTGTAACTGGTTCAAGAACATGGATTAAGCCTAGTTTAGGACTATACCATAATATTAAACGCTGACAAATCTTTTTAGTCTAGGAGTGAAGTTAATCTGGGTCGAGGCAAACAGCCCATAGACAACTGTGTGTGTGTGTGTATATATATATATATATATATATATATATATATATATATATATATATATATGACGTTTTAAAACAAAGCCTTGTATTTTCGTTTTTTGGTATTTTTCATTTGTTTTGATAATTTAAACAAAAAAAAAACAGTTGTCCTTTAAAATGCATCAAAATTTCATGATAAATGGACCAATTACATGTTCCAAACTCATTAAGAATAAAATCTTGCTACATTAACTGTTATTAAAAATTACAATTTCTTCTCCCGTAAAACTGCTTTTTGGACACATGGAGTTCTGATCTGACAGCGACGACATAAATAAATAAATGAATGAATGAACACACACACATACACACACTACATGTTAGTTATACTTAGGTATATGTAATACATACAGAATATTTCACATACCTGTGAGTTGAGAGGGATATTATTATTATTTATAAATATTTCCACATTTATACATAATACATTTGGGACATTTTACAAATCAATACTTACATAAAACATGAACGTCCCTACGTCCTTTGTTTGTATAAAAACCAACGTGTCTGTGTGTACGTAAGACGAGAGGAGGGGGGACGGAGGGCTGACCAGCTAAAGCCTCATTAAACCATCTGTCTGATCTCAGAGGCTGTCGGTTCCTCCGAAAAACACACTGGCTTAACTCGACAAAACGCCCGCTACAGAGCCCACGAACCTGACAGGGCCACTAACCCTCAGCCTGCGAGCCAATTACGCAGGGGGGGAGACAGGACAGTGGCGCGGCCCAAAAGCTGTGTCTGATAAGCAGGAGATTAACATAGAAACTCCTGCTTTGGTGGACGGCCTCCCTGAAGCCGCCGCATCCTTAACTGAAATCCACTCGAACGACCTGCCCTCAGCAAACTGGGTTAAGAGGCCAATTAGAGCTGTGGCCCAATTAGCCTAATCGTTTGTGGGGTTTAAGAGTAGAGTTGCAAGGGTTGGGAGATGAATAAGGAGGGGCAGACGCAGTCATGTGACAGAGTGTATGGACAGGCTAGGGCTGCATAAAATGAACGTGTTAACTTTGACAGCCCTGATATGTCCATATATACTGGACAGTCACGATGGTTTTGTATAAAGACAATGCATTTGAAACTGGTTGAATATTGTCACAGGCCTTGAATATTGAATATTATATTAATACGTAATTTTTTACAATCAACTACACACAATTAAACATAAAACAAATTTTTGATGTGACATTTAAAGTGACCTGCATTATTTCTGTAACACTTTATTTAAAGGGTGTCTACATAACACATTCATAACACCTTACATAAACACTTCGTAACATGATCAACATTCAAAAATCTTAAATGTTTTACATGATATTAATATGGACTACTATGAGACATTATTGTATTTTGAAAAACTATACTACTTTCAGTAGCATCTTATTTCTAGACAGCCAAAATAAAAATGACCTTGTTTTACCCCTTTGGTCATTAATTACTTTGACACGTAGGCACACCACCACACTAAGATTCAGTCAAATGATTGTTCCTTTGCATTTACTGTCCATGTAGTAAAGTGACATGCACAGCAACAAATGCTTAAGAAAGAACAGATAATTAAAAAGAAATTTAAAGTATAGGTGAAACATGCCTCAGTGTCAAAGCACTTAATGACCAAAGGGATAAAGGGCGGTCATTTTTATTTTGGCTGAGGAATATTCCTGAACATAATACACTTTTTTTTAAATAAGAAATGAGAACTCTTATTCTGAAAAATGCATGAAAATTACATAGTAGTCCATATTAATATCATGTAAAACGTATACTTTATAAATGTGGATTTAAACATTAATGAACATGCTATGAAGTGATTGTGCAAGATGTTCTGAATGTGTTATGTAGACATCCTTCAAGTAATTTTTCTGACCATTATGCTTTACATTTGTTGGATTATGTGAATACCTTTATTCATCGAAGGACCCACAGAAACCTATCTAGAAATGTGGTTGGTCAGGATGTTCCCAGCACACAGTAAAAACATTGAACGATTGTTTAGAGGGCTAATTTGCATATTGCAGTCATTTGCAATATCAGCACTGCGAAAGCCAATATCACGATAACAATTAAACAATATATTACACACCTTCATCACAATGAAAATGCAAAGACAACTACATAAGCAAAGCAGAACATTAGAAAAAGAAAACATAATGAAACTGAACTGTTAATTAAATAGTTAAACCATGTGGAGGCGAAAAGAATGATCTTGTACTAGGAAATGCTGCCTCATTATGTGTGCTGTGCTAAAACAACTTAACGCCTCAGTGTCACATGTACGCTGCGGCACGCTGTACAGAGGAATTATCTACTAATTCCAAATCAAAGTCAGATAGAAGTCGTAATCAAACTCCCCATGGGGCCGCGATGGCAGACCCACTGTGTCTGTGCCCAAGAATAGCCCGATTCCTGATTTTAGCAGATTAAATTGAAGGCCATCAACTCGTGTGAGAATCAGGGCAGCCTCTCCTTAACTGCAGGAGAAATAAGGGGGGAAACAGGCTCTCCAAAGTGACAGGCTGTCACCGAGCCTGCCGCGCTGACATTGACATGGCACAACAGACTGACTAGTGTTGCCTTTGTTCAATGATATTAAATCCTCACAGCGATATTAGCTTCTCGTTTTTAGCCACGAGACGGGGGAAGAGGCCGCTGGGGTCAGATGAAAGACCAACAGAGGACTAATCTAAAAGAATTAGAGATTCTGAAATTCCAGCGAGACCACGGTTTACTGCTGTTGATTATGGAGATTTGAAATTAGTCAAATCCTATTTAAAGATTACATAAAGGGAAGTTGCGCTTTTTATGAAACTAAACCCATAATCTTTGATTTAGGCAGAGAGCAGAAAAGAAAAATCCAACACTGAGATGATTAGGGACTCAATAAAATTGAATTATTGGGCAATGTTAGCAGTTACAGAGAAGGCATTTTGGAACGTGTGCAAACAACTGTACACATTCATTTCTACATCTTAAGGGCCTAATATAGGTGGACAATATGAAGAACGTAATATTGCCTTACTTAAAATCACCTCATTTATTACCACAGTATTTAGTTTTTCTGATCTTTGCCAACAAGGTGGAACTAGGCCTGTCACAAATTTCAGCTAATGATTAACTGCCATATAAAAAATTGTAATTAACAGTTTGTTTTTTTTCATCTTTCATTGTATGTAATTATTAAAACACAAGACTAAATTGGCTGATTAGCTATCTTGCTTTCTAGCTGTCGACACAGTAGTTTGCAAATGACAGACTGAGCGCAAATAAACAAACATAACTCATCGCTGCCCTCTAAAGGTGTTATTAACATCAAGTAAACATCACTACGCACTGCAGTTATAGAACCAGTCAGAGGTTGGAATTTGTGTTGTTTTCAAAAGACCCCAAAAATGTTTTCTGCTTTGTTTTATTTGCATGAAATTGCCTCAACACAATTGGTGATTAACACAAAAATGAACACTGTTGCAACCTACAGATATGACTGGGACAGTTAACAAATGTGTTAAGTAACTGCAGTCAGTTGAAATAATTATCATTACTTGATGTAATAACTGTGACAGGCTTAGCTGGAACTAAAACAACACAGTAGCAGAATAGCAGTGCCAAAAAAAGCTGAAATAGTGGTGGGCAATATGGCAAACATATGATGTCATGATACTTTAAGA